GAAGTGTTTCCAGCTGCGCGTCATGTAGCTGGAGTTGAGTGTTTTAAACTGATGCATGAAACTATAAATTTTTAGACATAAATTGTAACGGCCGCCGTTTTCTTTGTGAGTATTTATTACACGGTGTGCCTGTTCTAACGTTTGAGTCTAAGGTCTATTTTTTAGCACCTGCCGGCTCTTTTTTACTTCTCATCCGTAAATAATCTGCTCTTTCACGTGATTCGGTTTATTTTGAAAAGTTTCAACAGGATCTTGAGCTTTATTGTGAAAGGTTTATGTGGAACATAAACAAGCGGTCACGCGATGGTGTTACCGTCGTTGTTGCTAACCACAACGCATAAAACAGGCGCTTCTCTGTCTGTAGTGTGGTTATATTAAATATAAGAGAAATAGAGAACTTGAAGAAATTAATATAGCCACTACAGTGACCATCAAAAGGATGAAAAAAATATTGCTATAAACAGTTTATTTTGCGACACCACGAAACAAACGATAGCATAAAATGAAACATAGACGTTTTTATATCGTCATCCGATATATATCGTTATATCGAACAGCCCTAATCATAACCCACCTCTTCAGAAAAGTACAGTCCCTCCTTACAGCGTGGATAGCACACTTTGTCCTGTAGCATGCTGCCCCAGTCACAAGTCAAGCAGCCCTGAGGAGAGGCATCTGCAAACACACATACAAGCACTGAGCAGATACCTAATGAGAAAGTGAATCCACGATATTGACAGTTTAGAAATATAAAGTACAGTCAGAAATTATTCAAGCCCCAGTTCAGGGTCAAAGGTGGTGGTGGTTGCAACCCAGTTCATCACACTGTGAGAACAAGCCAGAGTAACTGGAGAGACCCATGCAGACATCCACATATAGAAGGACTCTAGACTGGATTCAATTCCAGGACCCTGCGAGGTAACAGTCTTACCCAGCATACCACCATTTAGTATCCGAAAACCATTTAAAGAATTTTTATCCTTCATCAATCAACAGTCAGTCTACAAAAATAAAAAATAAAGTAACAATTGAGGGTTTTTTTCCCCCCATTTAATACTACTGAATGAAGCTGTGCTGCTAGATACTGTACCCAGATCACTGGAGTGCTGCTATAATGCATATTCTATTTGTCCCATGTCACCACAGGTTCTCTGGAGGTCACCAGGTTCCTAACCACCTTTAGTACCACAATCTTGCTCTCATGATTCCTCAGTTTGGGAATCGTTTGTCTACAGGAAGAGTGCTTGTTGCTCCAAATGTGCTCCCTGTAAGAATATGGATCTGTGCCTCCACACAGTCATGTCTACGAGCACTTTAGGGAGGGCTTTTGAGTTCATTTTGCTTCTCCTTTGATTTTGTTTTCATGTGCCAATCAAGATACAGAAACATCTCAAAGATGATTAAGAGAAACGAGAGACTCCTGAGTTAAAATGAAAGCAAATGGTCTAAATAGTTACATCAGTGTTACATTTCAGGAGGAATTTTCTTTTTCTGTTTGCTGAACTGAAATGAAATGAAATGATTAGAACAAAAAGCTGTATACAGTGGGGCAAAAAAGTATTTAGTCAGCCACCGATTGTGCAAGTTCCCCCACTTAAAATGATGACAGAGGTCAGTAATTTGCACCAGAGG